GCCGGAAGGAGCCGGGCCCGGCCCCCGTCTGAGCTTGCGCTGCGCGCGGGGGGAGGCACCAAGCGGGAGGCGTTTTTCAAAATCAGTAAAACTTTATTCTATTTCCATTCTTTGCCATTAACAGAAATCGGAGAAAGCAAATGTTTGTTTCACAAAGATAATGCATCTCCCAGAGAAGAAAAACCCTAAACTGAGAATAGAGGTCATATGAAAAAACCGAAAAACAAACCACAGGACTGCCCTCTATTCCAAGAAAATAACTGCGGGAGGCGTTTTTCAAAATCAGTAAAACTTTATTCTATTTCCATTCTTTGCCATTAACAGAAATCGGAGAAAGCAAATGTTTGTTTCACAAAGATAATGCATCTCCCAGAGAAGAAAAACCCTAAACTGAGAATAGAGGTCATATGAAAAAACCGAAAAACAAACCACAGGACTGCCCTCTATTCCAAGAAAATAACTCCTGATCTTTTTGGTTAAAGTAATACTTAGACCAATCATTCAGTTTTCTTGCTTGATAAAGTGTGACTGGGGAAGAATGGGGGGGAGGGGGGGAGAAAAAGAGCACACAGACATCAACTATTTCACCTTGATGAAAGTCTCAATACAGCTATGGAAAGCCTAAGTATTTATTCTTTTACAGTACACTGGGTGCTGGCTGCAAAAAGAAAAATGTATTCACTTCAGGCACAATTTTTAAATTTAAATCAGTAAAAGAAACTGGGTTTAGAAGCTGCAGAGTTCTAAGCAGCAGCAAAATCTGTGCATTGTTTTATATATTTAAGTTACCACACAGATGGCACACCTCATCCTTCTGAAATTCTGCACTGTGCCTACTAATTGCAGAGTTACAAAACAGATCTACTACTCTGGAAGGTACTTTCACTGAGCTTTAACAGAACTTTGCTACATGGACTCAAGTTTAAATGAGATATGAAAACATATGTAACATTTGGCCGTCAACTTAAAAAGTTATCTGAATGCTCATACAGATTTATATAAAAAAGTTTATCTAGTCCACCCTCATATGGTCCTTCAAATTCAAGCTGAACTTGAAGTGAGCCTCCCACATGGAGGGGAAGATAATGCAACTGAGAGCTAAGGCATAGTAACACCTTGGCAGAAATAATGAGGATAGAGTATACATCCTTTTAGTGCAGAATTTCATAAGGTCTACCGCAGTAGAACTGTCTATAATGTTCACTTACATAGGCAATGTAGATTTGCAGTTACCAGTTGCGTTAAATGCACCATTCAAAAAGCGTCTAACAAGTGATACTATAAGGCGCCACCTTAAGTCTCCAGGATGCAACTGTGCATAATTTTAAAATGGTTTCATAAATTTATTTTTTAAACATAACATGAGGAAGGTGTTAAACTGGTATAATAGCTTCTTAGAATTTGGAAGGGATGAATAGGGAGATATTCAGTACCCTTCACCAGCTCCCATCGCATCATCCTACTTAGTTATGTGCTTTATGGTTCTGCTAGTCAATAACACCAGCTTGACGAATCTTTCTCTCTGCAACAAATCCCTGTAATGACATAAAACAGCATTAGGCAACTGCAATGTGAAGTAATGGGTATGGTTAACAGATGGATATATACCATTCTCTCAATTTCTCCATGTGTAGGCCACTCTTCATGTTGTTTCTAACAGGATACCCTGTTGGTATTGGGGGGCTAAACTGGCTCTTCAGAAATCCTAAGAAGCAGCACCAAGCTCCCATGGTTCCCTATGCACACACACTCTGTTTTACCTAGCCACTATATTCTATACCATTGCCTTGAACTTTGAAGAATCCACTCTAAAGACCTCCCAGGGTGAGAATTGAGCATACTGGGCTCCCCTACATGTCTCCCTGCTAACAAAAGTTCTAGGAAATGTAGTGAGCTGAGGCTCCAGCTCTTTCCCCTTTCTCCTAGGTGTATTATTGAGAATAAATTCTCATTAGAACACAATTTCTCTAGAGGAATTTTAAATGTTGCAGGAAAGTACATTTTTCTGCCTAGCAATCTGTGTGTCACTCTTAGGCTCCATGTACACTGTGGGTGTTCTGCAGAAGAAATGCAAATGGAGCACTCATTTGCACACTCATGCTCTCATTTGCATATCTTCAAATCCTTTTTGCAGAAGTTATTGCAATTAAAAAGCCCTGTGTAGATGGGGCCATTTGTCAGAAAAAAACCCTTTTGCGCAAGAGCCTTTTTTTGAAGAATAAAGGCTCTTGCGCAAAAGGGTTTTTTCCCCTGACAAATGGCCCCATCCACACAGGGATTTTTACTCGCAAAAACCTCTTCTGCAAAAAGGATCGAAATATATGCAAATGAGCACTCCATTTGCATTTCCTCCTCCACAAAACACCCGCAGTGTAGACAGCCTTAGAGACAGCATCACCTGCCAGCTGAGGTAGTAGCTACCTATCCACTTCCAAATTTGGATTAATTCTACGTTAGACCAAAGTGGGCACTCGGTGAAGTTCTTCCTGGATCAGCAGCTTGAGTGGCTTGTGGCAAACACAGCAAGACTCAAAGTCTTGATTTTACATTTAAATGAACAAGTTACAAACAATTTTGCCTTAATCAGCATTTAGCAATATACAGTAATGCAACCTGGGATTGGTTGACCACACCCATTCCGCTCTTGGTGCATATGTGGCCAATGCAAACAGGATCAGATTCTTTTAGCCAGCAGTCTACTGAGGCCACTACTGCACCCTAATGTTCTCACATCCCCATGTCAAATACAGAGCCAAGCAGGCACAAGCATCCCCAATTCCTTCAACACTACAGAATCCCAGAGGAATCGGACTCCACAATAGCGGAGCAGGACAATGTGTTGGGAACCCACGTGGACAAGACATAAGAGCCAGTTACAGCACAGTAAGAAACACTTCTCAGAGACTGAGTCACCAAAAGTGGCATTCAGGCAGACAAACCAAAAATTGTGTTTCCTTAGCAGTGAGCAGTCGGACTCCTGCTTAGCAAAGAGCTGTAGGACAGCCCTGTCAAAGCACCCATCCCATTTGGAGGCCTGTCCTAAGGAACAGCATATTGTAAGTGAGTGGACCGAGCTCCATGTACTTATTCTACAGATTTTAGAAATAGGGGCAGTCCTCAAGGGAGAGACCATGGGGGACAGAAAGATGCAAGTTTAAAATAAACTAGGCTTTGCAGGTTGGCAAAGCACAGGGTGTCCCCAGATAGGAGGACGACGTGCAGATACGGCTGCAAGATGGAACCAGAAATACTTTGCAATATCAGGGCTAGCTAGCAGTCCACCCACTTGTGCTGAAATGAACAGTCAAGGGCAACAGGAGGCGGTGGGCTGGGAAGCCCCAATTGTGAAGTTATTTTACAAGCCAGTCTAGTTAAGGCTTTCCTGTTCGGAAGCAGAATATTCTCAACTTCAGAGATCTGACCACTGTTTCCCAAGACTGTTGGCAAGGCCAGCGAGGTGATGGGGCTATGGTAAAAAGCTGACTAGGGTCTTAATGCCAGAACTGCCCAACTAAAGCCTGGGCTAACATGATCATGTATCTTGCCTCATCTCTCAATACCAGTGGAGATGGCCTGCTCCTTCTTGTCATAATGCACAACTGCCATGCTGTCTGTCAGCATCTGGCTCACGGATCCCTGGACTAATGGCAAAAGTGGCAGGCAGATGGCTCTGGGCCAATCTCTGAGGGTGCCACAGCCCTGGTGTTTGAAGGTGATCTAGATATGCTCCCTCCACCCCGAAGAGAATTTACCAGTTTGAGGACTTCTCTTCATGTCTATGCAGTGCTTACTTGATTTTCAGCCCTCTCCTGCAGGGAATAGCAGTTAAGGTCTGGCAAGCTGCATCCCAGCCTCCTTTTGGATTTTAGTAAGCCATTTGACACTGCTGCACGATATTAGCATAAACAAAATTAGGAAAATATGATCTAGATCAAATTACTAGAAGGCAGATGTACAACTGGTTGAAAGATTATGCTCAGGAGTAGTTAATGAGTCACTGTTCCACTAAACTGAGCCCTGCAGAAGTCAGTCCTCCATCTGCTTTCATTTAGTATTTTCACTGAGGACTTGGAGACTGGAGTGGACAGTATGTTTATAACATTTGCAGGTGACACCAAGCTAGGAGGGGTATTCCAAACCTTGACAAATGAGAGGTTCTGAACTTAAAGAGATCCAATTACATCATTACATTCAAAAGATCCAAGTACAAAGTATTTTCTGAACAAACCCTGGGAGCCCAGGGGAGGAGAAAGGCTTGGAATGCTGCTCCTGCCCCCACATAACCTTATAGCTCTTATTGGCCGAAACCATCCAGTGGGAGCTGCCTATTTGCTAGACCAAAGGCTTGTGACATACCCCCGCT